TCACCACACCACACCCAGTTCTGTACACATAAATAAATGACTCTTAAAAAAAAAAAAAAAACTTCCCCCAGGGGCCCTCCCTGGTGGTAGGTACAACGAGTTCAAGTACAGCACTATGAAGCTAGCCGAAGCCTCTTTGGCACCAGTTCACAGCTGCTTTAGAGTTTGATCCCTGCTCCGAGGTCAGGCAGGTGACCCACATGCTGCAGCTGACCTCTCCTGTCTCCCCCGTAGTGTACTTTGTCAACCTTCCTATTCTGCTCCCCACTCTGACTCTGGTGAATCCTCTCACCCACCATACCTCTGGCCTGTACCCCAGTTCTGTATGCATAAATAAATACATCTTTAAAAAAAAATCTGGGGCTCTCCCTGATGGCATAATGGGTTAAAGCTCCCCCAAGCCACCGCACCACCAGTTCAATCCCTGGCCAGGGAGCTGACCCACATGGCGTGGCAGACCTCTCCTGACCCCTCAGCAGCGTGTTTCAGTACATCTGCCTATTCTGTTCCCCACTCTGTCTCTGGTGAATCTTCTTACCCTACCATCTCTGGCCTATATCCCAGTTCCGTAAGCATCAATAACTAAATCTTTAAAAAAAAAAAAATAAAAAAATAAATCTTCCCCTAAACCCATCTCAGCTGCTGCTGAGTTGTGTTTTAGCCAACAGGAAACAGAGCTGCCATCAGAGGTGCCGTCTCAGCTGTTTCTAAAGGCTGCTGAAAGGGTTTTCACAGGGCTGTGGACAGGGCTAAAGCATTGCAGACACCAACAACAGCAGGCAGGTTCCTGAAGGGACAAGGCTGGAATCCCCTGAGGGCCTGTGGATAAAAGATCAACAGAAGGGAGCTGAGGGGAGGAAGGAGGGAGGGACGTAGCTTACACAGACCATATGGAGTGTCTACTCAGAAGTCAGCACCGGTTCCGTCACCTCCAGAACAAAGTCCTCAGTTTGCCTGTCCAGATTCACAATCTGTCCCCAAAGGCCCGTCTCCCATCATGTCCCACACACAGATGCACACCCCTTTGCCCACCTCACTGTGAGATGCCCTTCTTATTTCCTTTTCATCTAACTCTTGGCTTCCTTTTCTCTTTTAAAAATGCTTTTTATTGAGGTGGCGCTGGTTTACAACACTGTATATGATTCAGAGGTGCAAGTTCTTACCTCTTCAGATGTATGTCACCACACCACACCCACCACCTAACCCACTGTCCTTGGGCCCTCTCCTCCCTTTCTCTCACTCTTTCTCGTCCTCTGGTAACCTCCGTTCTAGGTCAGACTGTAGTTTTGGAGTTTGTTTTAGTTCTTTAGCTTTACCTGTTCCTTTTTTGTTTATTTTTAGCTTACTGATGAGTGAAACCACTGGGTATTTGTCTTTCTCCTTCTGATTCACTCGGCATAATCCTTTTGTGTTCCATCTCTGCTGTCACAAATAGCAAGATTTTGTCTTTTATCGCTGAGTAAGATCTTGCTGTGTGCATAAACCACAGCATCTTATTCACTCACCTTTCACTGGGCACTTAGGCTAGTTCTTTTTGTTTTTTTTTAAATTTATTTATTGATGCACACAAAACTGGGGTACAGGCCAGAGGCGGTGAGAGGATTCAGCAGAGACAGAGTGGGGAGCAAAGTAGACAGATTGACAAAGTGCACTGCTGAGGGGAGCAACAGCTGAGCAGGAGAGGTCTGCTGTGCCCTGTAGGTCTCCTCTGGGATGGGGATCGAACTCACACTGAAGCTGCTTGCAGTGCTGCATCCTTACCCATTGAGCCAACAAGGAGGGCCCATGTACTGAGGTTATTTCTATTAATTTAGTATTGTCAGTCATGCCACAGTGAACACAGTACATCTATCCCATTGAATCAGTGGCTTTGTGTTTTTTGGGCACAAAAAAGAATCCTATAGAGGAATTGCTGGATCATATAGCAGACTCATTTTTTTTAAATAAAATTTTTTAATATTTATTTATTTTTACATCATTTTGTACATTTTTCCATCTCAATTGTAATCCCCATGGGCTTCCCATCACCGAATCACCCATGTGCCATCACCATAGTCCAGTGCATTTGTAGATTCATTTTTAATATTCTCTCTCTTTTTTTTTTTAAGATTTGTTTTATATATTTATGCATACAAGAACTGAGGTATAGACCAGAGGTGCGGGGTGGGGGTGGGGTACGAGAAGATTCACCAGAGACAGAGTGAGGAACAGAACAGGCAGATGGACTGAAACACACTGCTGAGGGGAGCAGCAAGCGAAACAGGAGAGGTCTGCTGTGCCATGCGGGTCAGCTCTCTGGCCTTAGATTGAACTCATGCTATAATAATGGCTGGTGATAGCTCCTGGGCCCCCAGAGAGGCCCCATTTTTAAAAATTATTATTATACTAGTTTGTTTTCACATCATTTTGTGCCTTTTTCCATCTCAGTTGTAATCCCCATGGACTTCCCATCACCCATTCACTGTGCGGGAGGCCCCATTTTTAATATTGTGAGACACCTCCATACTGTTTTCCACAGGGGCTGAACCAGTCTACCTTTCCACCAACAGCGAACAAACAACAAGGCTTCCTTGTGCGTCACACCCTTTCCAACACTTTGTTTCTGGCCTTTTGTTACAGGCCATTCTCATGGATATGAGGTGGCATCTCTTTCTGCTTTCCCTGATGATAAGTGATGAGGGGCATTATTTTCATGCACATTCTGGCTACTTGCACATCCTGTTTAACTCTTGGTTTTCATGTTTATGCAGGCTAGACCCAATGCAGTTTCTGACCCCCTGCATCTGAGGTGGAACCCCAGAATTCGCTTCTAACAAGTGCCCAGTGACAGGCTGCTGTGGAGTCAGGACTACTCTAACCTAATGCAGTCCATTCCTCTGGGTCCATGCGGAGCCTCTCTGCACCGATCCCCCACCCTACACCTCGGCCATCTTCCAAGCCCCCAGAAATCACTCCTTCGTTTACTCTGAAATGGTGTCTTTTTGTTTATGCCACTCAGTGGCCCTAGAGTGTTGGTGATCAGGGAACTACCTTTCTCTTCCCCACCGCTTTCTTTTCTTCTTTCTCACCCCTCATACTATACCAGGGCCCCAGCTCTGGGAATTTTATCTTGAGCTGTGCCTCAAATTCTTCTCTTTTCCCACATTCCCACTGACTGAGATGAGGTTCAGGGCTCACATCTCCCCAGAATGTAGCCATTCGCTCTTGGGCATGGCTGCCTCCAGCTTCTCTCTCAGGGGTCACGACCTGTCTGACTCCTACTCTTTGTCACCACTAATTTCCATCTTCTCAGTGACTCCTCGATCCCCCCCGGCAGAGAGCCCACTGTGGCCTGGGCATCGCACTGTGTGGGACCTGGGTATCTGCTTAGATTCATGAATATCCAAGAGGCATATTTGATTTTATCTACTTGATAATTGATTTGTAAGAAAGCTGATTTCTTCCCCCACTCCCTGATCTATGCCCTTTGGGCAGTGACTCCATGGCTCAATACAAACTGCCTGCCATCTAATGATTGGCTTTTCTCCTCAAGCTCTGTCTTTTCTTCTGGGTGAAGACTCAGGCCCCTGCCTTGTCAACAAGGCCACAATGAACCAGACAACCTCTTTAAGGTGCCTGCTTCTGGTGCTGTTTTGGGGTGAGTATTTTGATGTGGGGTCTGAGGGCAATGATTTGGGAGAAGAGGATGACTGGGAGATGGCAAGTTTGGGGGTGGAGTAGGGGGGGTGACAGACTTGAGACCTGAACCCCTCTTTTACATCTAGCTCTGGTCCCGGAGGACACTCAGGGAAAAGAAATAGTGCTGGCGAAGGCAACAGACAAAGTAGAGCTGTCCTGCAATGCTTCCCAGAAGAAGTTTACATCCTTCAGCTGGAAAAAGTCACCCAACATCCTGATTCTGAGAGATAAGAATGGATTCATCACTAAAGGTAGAGTGACCCTCTCCCAGGACAAGGAAGAAAGCACCCTGGATTGAATATCTTTGGTGCTAACCCATCCCGGTCCTATTAACCTGGGACTCCAAAAGGCTCTGATTGATAAATTTGTTAGGTTTCCCCATTCCAACTGCTAGTGGTCCAGGGAATGGTTTTTGGTGGCCTATTCTAATTTTAATATTTTCATATTTGTGGGTTTTTTTGATAGATATTAAAAATAACTATTACCTAAAATAAGTTTTGTCTTGCTAGGTTGCTCCTTTCCTGGTTCTATGGCTAGAGAGAGCAAATTCTTCTGAAAGTGGGGGCAGGGGATACCCCTCCTTGTTGGGATGATGTCAGATGATGCCTGGTAAAAAGTCAGGATGTTCATCATCACACAGCAGTAACAAAACCACCCCCACCCCATGTCCTTGGAGAGAATGTGGGGAGCTGGAAATTCTACCTCAGGCAGTTAGGAACCACCTCTACTGGCAGTGAGGATGAGAGCAGATGTAATAGCTAGAGTTACAGCTAAAAAACTACAGAGACAGGGCCCTCCCTGGTGGCGCAACGGGTTAAAGCACAGCACAAAGAAGCTAAAGCCACTTCCGCATGAGTTTGATCCCCGCCTGCCCCAGAGGAGATCCACATGGCGCGGCAGACCTCTCCTGACCTGCCCGCTGCTCCCCTCAGCAGTGTACCTCATCAGTCAGCCTGTTCTGCTCCTCACTCTGTCTCTGCTGAAACCTCTCACCTCCCCTGCACCTCTGTCCTGTACCCCAGTTCTGTATGAATAAATAAATAAATCTTAAAAAAAAAAAAAAAACTACAGAGACAGACTCAAACACTATAGACAAATTATAAAACATTTTTTAAAAAATGTTTTTGTCCCAAACTATAAAATTAATGTCTGCAAGTCCATACTGATACAATAACTGATTGAAAAAGTAATTAGGAATAGAGGGGGGTGGGCAGGTGATAAACAAATCTCCCATGTCGAAGAATTCCAAATAATTTGTGCAAATAATCTTCCCTCAAGGATGGGAGGCATAATTCCTCACACCATAAGTGTGGGCTATGTGTGGTAATTACTTCCCAAGAGTAAAATATGGAAGGGTAGGTGGGAGGAATAGCTTTACAGTAGAGAAACCTGAAAAAAAGTGATGTCACCCAGGTGATCAAGGTAAACCTCAGCAGTTGTAAGTCACGCTGATAGTATGTACCCTTGATGTGTAATGAATACAATGCTTTGTCTCCGTGATCTTCTTCCCCTGAACCCACAAACCCAGTTGAATCAAGAGGAAAACATCAGGCAAATCCCAAAATACTTGACTGGTCTTCCTCAAAAATGTACAGGCCAGGCCCTCCCTGGTGGCGCAGTGGGTTAAAGCACAGCACTAAGAAGCTAAAGCCGCTTCCGCTTCAGTTTGATCTGCGCCTGCCCTGGAGGTGACCACATGGCTTGGCAGACCTCTCCTGACCCACCCGCTGCTCCCCTCAGCAGTATACTTTGTTGATCTGCCTGTTCTGCTCCCCGCTCTGTCTCTGGTGAATAGTTTAACCACCCCTTCAGCTCTGGCCTGTACCCCAGTTCTGTATGCATCAATAAATAAATCTTTTTTTAAAAAGTAAATAAAAATTAACAAAATGAGCTATGAACTCAAGTGTAGAATGTAAAATTATAATAACATACACAACAAAATCTTCAGGATCTACACTGGACAATGAGTTATTAGGTTTAGTACCATAAGCAGGATCTATAAAAGAAAAACTGATCTTAATTAAATTTTAAAGCATTTGTAAAGTTTTTTTTAAAATTTATTTTTGCATATAAGAACTGGGCTGTAGGCCAGAGGTGTGTGTGTGTGTGGCGGGGGTGTTAAGAGGATTGCCAGTGACAGAGTAGGGAGCAGAACAGGCAGCTCTACTGAAATCCACTGCTGAGGGGAGCAGCGGGCAAGACTGGAGAGGTCTGCTGTGCCATGTGGGTCACCTCCCTGGCTGAACTGAGGTCATAGTGGTAATAGTGCTAATTCTGAACACCTAAGCCACTAAGGAGGTCAAATTTAAAAATTTTACTCTGCGAAAGACCTGATGAGGAAGAAGAGAAAAAGACAATTTATAGAGTATGAGAAAGTATATGCAAAATACATATTGAAAAAAGGAACAGAATCTAAAACATGTAAACAACTTTCAAAAGTCCATACCAAGAAAAACAACCTAGTAAGAAATGGGATAATGGCCTGAATAGACATTCCAGCAAAGAGAATCAGGAATGGCGGGAGCAGTGGAAAAGGTGTGCAGCATCATTAGTCATTCCGGAAATGCAAATGAAAACCACAATGAAACACCCTGTGCCTATCAGAATGCCCATCAGAAACAACTGCAAACATCAGCAAATGCTGATGAAGCTGCAGAGAAACTAACTAGATTGTTGTGGAAGGACAAAATGGTACTGGCATTCTGAGAAATCTTTGGGCAGTTTCTTAAAAACCAGACGTGTGGCCCTCCCTGGTAGGGCAACGGGTTAAAGCTCAGCACTATGAAGCTGTCCACAACCACTATAGCACAAGTTCGCTCCCTAGCCAGGGAGGTGACCCACATGGCGTGGCAGACCTCTCCTGACACACCAGCTGCTCCTCTCAGCAGTGTATTTCAGTAGATCTGCCTGCTCTGCTCCCTGCTCTGTCTCTGGTGAATCCTCTCACCCCTGCACCTCTGGCCTGTACCCAGCTCTGCATGAATAAAAAAATCTTAAAAAAAACAAAACCAAACATGCAACAATCCAGCATTTTTTGCACACTTAGGCATTTATTACAAGAAACCACTTGTGTTCACCTCAAAAAATGTATACAAATGTTCATAATGGCTTTATTTATAATAACCAGAGACAACCCAGATGTCCTTCCATGGGTGAATGGTTTTAGTCACACTGGGAAACACTTCCCAGCTATAAAAAGGGACAGTTGGGTAACTACACATAATCACCTGGGTGAATCTCCAGAGTGATGTTCAGTGAAAAAAAAGTCAATTCCCTAAGGTGACATCCTGTGAAATTCCACTTATACAACATTCTTAAAATGACAAATTACGGAAATGGAGGACAGATTATTATCAGCAGTTGATGTGGTGAGGGGAGGAAAGTGGAAGAGAAGGGGTGTGGCTATAAAAGGGCAACGCCCCAAGGCCCTGGGAAAGGTCAGCACCCTTGTGGCGCCAAAGCTGGTACCCTCGGTGTGGCATTGTATTATGGCATTTGCAAGCTGTTACCATCAGAGAGCGCTGGGCACAGGGTTTTTGAGGTCTTTCTGTATTATTTCTTCCAGTGATCAAGAAATAATAAATTGAATTTTAGAAATCAACAATAAAAAAATTCATTTTCATAATTTCAAAACAAAATGAAAAGAAGCTCCACATGTCCAGCGTAGTCTGTTAAGTGGAAAGAGTGAGCTACAGATGTAATTCCACTTAAGTTGAAAAAGTCAATCTATGGGAATATATGTTTGCGTGAGCAAAGAACAAGCAGGGAGCAATCCACACCAAACTGTTTACAGTTGTACTCATGGGGACAGGGAAGTGTGGAGTCTATATAACTTTGTAGTTAAAATAACCAACCCTCCCCCAAATTATCTTAACAAAACTTAAAAAATGCATGTGATGAATATTTTCCATTTCAGTAAAATTACTTGTAAATCTCTTTCTTGGTGCCAACCTAATATTCCATCAAGTGAGTGAGTGCGAATATACAGCAGTGATCGTTTCGTCTAGCATTGTATGCTGTTAGCACTATAGTTTGCTATGTTGTGATCTGCGTCTTTAAATAATCGTTTTAAGGATAAAAACCTAGAAATGAAATTGAGGATATGAACTTTAAAAAGAGTTGTCATTTTCTGCAGAAAATTGCCTCCAGAAAATTCAATGTATTTACACCACGTCTAGTTAATGTCAGCGCCATGGACACACTTCCAGCACTGAGTTGTATTATTTAAAATATGTCTGTGGCTAATTTGCTAGCTGGAAATATATCATTGTTGTTTTAATTTGCATTTCTTGATTGCCTCTGAGATAGAAACAATGTGCGACTTTCTAAAAATTCTTAAGTCTTTTGTGTCAATGCTTTTGTTCTCTTTCTATGATTTGATTTTCCTCCAGAACAGCTCTCCTTCCCAACTTCCTGATCCCTGGCACAGCGGTATCCCTCTCACAACGCCCACCATTTCTGAACCAGAGTCAAGTGTTTTTATCCCTCTATTTAAATTTCTGGCTTCCCATCCGTCACCAATTATGCCCATTCCTTCCTTTAAGAGTTTTTCTGTTTCATCATCTTTGTTCCTATGGGGCCACTGCCCTCTGTAGCCAAATCTGCAAACCTTCCACTGGGATTCCACCGGAAGCTTCTCAGCAAGCCTTTTGCTACCTGCCTCTCTCGTTTGCTTTCTCTCCCACCTGCAATACCTTGCACATGTCACTCCCTGGTCTTTCCACTAAGCCTGGAAATCTCTGCCAACACTCAGCTCTTTAGCGTCCCTTCCACAGCTTCCCAGAAACTTCCACATACCATGACCTCCTCGCGCCTTTTTTTTTTTTAATCTTTATTTATTTATTCACATAGAACTGGAGTACAGGCCAGAGGTGCAGGACTGGTGAGAGGATTCATCAGAGACAGAGCGGGGTGCAGAACAGGCAGATCAATGAAGTACACTGCTGAGGGGAGCAGCGGGCGGGTCAGGAGAGGTCTGCCACGCCATGTGGTCACCTCCCTGGCAGGCAGGGATCGAACTCATGCTGAAGTGGCTTTAGCTTCTTTGTGCTGTGCTTTAACCCGCTGCGCCACCAGGGAGGGCCCAACCCAGGGCCCAACCCCCCACTCCTTTGTGGTTGTTCCCCATACTGTTTTGCTCTTTTCATGGATGTTTTCCTTGTGCCAACTTCTGCTACGACAGTACCTTTATTCTCTTTAGGCTTTTGAACCAATGACAGACACATAAAAGGAGAGGCCAGGGTAAGGAGAGCAGGTCTCAGGTTGTCGGGAAAGTGCTCCTGGAGAGGATAAGCCCAAGCAGTGCAAAGCAGACTGTGAGGTCTGGAGGAGGAGAAAAAGGGCAAATCATGCCCATGTGATACCCAACTTCCTGCACTGAGGCCAAAACTGGAGCTCATCATGCTGGCTTCACGGGAGACTGAGGTGGTGTGGAGGGAGTGGAGGGCAGGGGCTTTATCTCAGCTACCTTCACTCCATCCCTCCAAATACAAGTTCAAAGTAAAAGGCTGTGTGCTTGCTATGTACATTGGCTTCCAAAGCCCTCAACTGCCACAGTTCTGGAGCTGCTGTGGGTCCCAGAAAATGGTCAGCAAGAGAGAACTTCCCCACGTGGTGGCTGGACTCGTCCACATCTCCATGATTAAGCCCTTTCCAGAGACAGTGCTGCACATGTACCGCATAGGCCTGAATGTTTACCCACCATTTACTGGAGTCAAAATTCCAAAGACAGGAAAGGATCTATGAAAGGCGAAAAGCTCTTTGTTCACACCTTGGCATTCCCTTCCTCTCGCCAGAGACACCTCAGTTATCACACCATCTTTACTTAGAGAAATAGTTGTTGTTCATGTACAAGATAGATATAGACAGATGCATAGCTAGAGACAGACGTAGATAGACAGGTAGCTAGGCAGGTAGACAGACAGACAGATACTTTCCTCCTCCTTTTAAAATAAATGATAGTCTACTTAATGTCTTATTATAATTAGTTGCTATTTCTTAGATATAACCCGTATCAGTCTGTAAGAGTGTCTTCATTCTTCCCTTATAGCATTTCCCTGAAGGCAAGAACTCTAACCGATTTAACCTGATCGTTTCTTGGTGGACATTTAATTTGGCGTGTGCATTTGTAACCCTGGTAAACATTACCAATTACTTTCCAAAGCCATTGCACTGGTTTATGTTTCTGCCAACAATATGTAAACCTGAGTTTGGACGACGATTTTATCTCTCTGAGTCTCAGTTTCCTTATCCACCAAAGAAGCAAGACAGCACCTACTTCCTGGTGTTGTGTTGTGAAGAGTGCTCGAGATGATGCATCTAAAGTATTTTATTTGTAGGAGTTGCTGCCTTGCCAATAAGCACATGATTTTCTTCTGGATTAGTGAGAGATGGTCCTGACCAGGAAAATGAGTGTGAGGAATTCAGCCTCATCAGTCTGGAATTCTTTGATTAGGTCAAGGGGTAGATTCTGCAGGAAATTAGCAACTCAAATCAAAAGAGTTATGGGCACTGCCCACCGGGGATGCCAGCTCTCCAGGGTACTTGATCTCTCCCATGTGGCTTTAACTCCCAGGTAATAGCAAGATGAAGGATCGTGTTGATTCAAGAAAGATGATGTGGGACCAAGGGTCCTTTCCTCTAATCATCACAAAACTTGAGAAAGATGACACAGGGACTTACTTTTGTGAAGTAGGGGACCAGAAAACGGAGGTGCAGCTGATTGTGTTCACATGTGAGTAGGAACATGGGTACTGTGGCCAGTCTCCCTCCTCCCTGACACCCATTCCTACACCCAAATCAGCGGGATACCTCAGCAGTCCACAGCTGGATCCCACAGGCCACTACATATCCTCGGGTCAGGCAGGGGGGAAAGAGACGTAGAGGACAGTGGCGAGAAGGACGGGAGCCAGAGGGAGGACAGAGAGGGGCGAGAAGGACGGGAGCCAGAGGGAGGACAGAGAGGGGCAGAGAAGAGGGAAGGAGAAAAGGAGAAGGGGAGAAGAGGAGGGTGGGGAGAGGTGACAAAGGGGAAGGGTAGAGGGAGAAAGAGGGGGAGGCGGTGGGAGAAAGCAACCTTCTTCTGGGTTGGGAGCAGACAGCTGGGGGTTGGCAGGAAGGATGATGTTAGGAGTGGGGTGACAGAGAGACCCTGTCAGGCCTGGCTTCTTCCTCCTCCTTGGGGATAGTGTTTATGTGACATAAGTCATCTGCTCCCTCCACAGTGACTTACAGCCCAGGCAACCAATTGATGTTGGGGCAAGAAGTGACCCTGACCTTGGAGAGCCCACCTGGTATTAAATCTTCAATGCAATGCACAGGTCCAGGGCTTCAAGAAGTAAAAATGGGCAACATCATCTCAGTGTCCCAGGTGAAGCAGCAGGACAGTGGCACCTGGAAATGCACCATCTTCCACAAAGAGTCCAAGCTGGTTTGGGACATAAACATCTTGGTGTTGGGTAAGAAGTGCTTCTCTCCTCTCAGCCCTCCCCTGCCTCAGGGCCTGACTGGCCCTCCCTCTGCTCTGTCCTGGGGTTGGGTTTGGGGAAAGAGGGAGGCGGGCCTGGTTGTCCTGGACTGAATTCTGTCCTGAGGGGTATGCTGGACCCTTGCTCAGGGTGGTGGACATGGAAGAAGGACCAGGGACATGAAGATGTGAGGGGACTCCAGAGACTCCTTGAAGCTGGTGTGCCAAGGACTTCTGTTTTCTTTTTCTCCGTAGCTCCCCATTCCCACCAAGTTGGCAAATCCAACTTGGACACTAACACCAGCAAATTGACTGGGATGAAATTCTACTTTGTACCTTTAGAATCCTGACCCAGGGGCTGGGGGAGTGGAGGTGGTGGAGCCAGAGCCCAGAACGCAGGTCCTGCCCCAGATCCTAACTACCATGGGCTTATGTGATACCAGGCAGCAGTGGAGAGTGGTTAGCGTGTGGGCTCTGATTTAAATTAGGCTCTGACTTAACCGAGTGACCTTGGCCAAGTCACTGAACTTCCCTGTGCCTTGGTTTCTGCATCTGGAAAATGGGGATGAAGCTCACTGTGCTTATTACTCTAGGTAATGACTAGAGTGACAGGCCTGACCCGTCACAAACTTGATGTAAGTACCGGCTCTTAACTTCTGAAGGGTGGTAAATGGCCAGATGTCCTCTGTGAGCCAGGGCTGCTGAGGAGGGAGAGGCCCCTAGACTAGGCTGTTCTCAGAGGGGGTACAACAAGGGGCCATGCCTGGGTAAAGAGGTAAGACAGAGAAGACTTGAGCGGGAGATGGGATGTTAAGAACTGAAATGGACCCTCCCTGGTGGTGCAACGGGTTAAAGCGCAGCACTATGAAGCTGTCCATAGCCTCTGCAGCATGAGTTCGATCCCCAGCCAGGGAGGTGAACCACATGACGCAGCAGATCTCTCCTGACCTGCCTGCTGCTTCCCTCAGCAGTGTATTTCAGTACATCTGCCTGTTCTGCTCCCCACCTTGTCTCTGGTGAGTCCTCTCACCCCCCACATCTCTGGCCTGACCCCAGTTCTTGAATACATAAAGGAATAAATTTTTTTTTAATAATAGCTTATTTTTACTTCATTTTATGCCTTTTTCCATCTCAGTTGCAATCCCCGTGGGCTTCCCATCACCAAATCAACCGTGTGCCATCACCATAGCCCAGTGCATTTCCCTCCCCTCACTGTTTTTGATCCCATCCCACCCTACTCCACGCCCACAAAATGTCTCTGGTATATAGCTGTTCATCATTATCATTATTTTCTTGCCTGTCCATTATATTAAAGGAATAAGCCTTAAAAATTAAATTAAATTAAAAAAAAAAAGAGCTGAAGTGGCCGCCGAGTTATCTGGACTCAGCTGGTCCCCCTCCATGTCCTCTGCCCCCACCACAGCCCACCCCACGCTGGAAACCCTTCTTCCTATCTCCTGACCAGTTTCTCTCCTGCCCCAATTCCAGGTTTCCTGGATTTTCCTGACACAATCTACAAGTGTGAAGGGGAGAAGGTGGAATTCTCCTTCCCACTCAACTTCAAAGCCGAATCCCTGAGTGGGTCTATGCAGTGGCAAGCTGAGGGTAACTCCTCCCCGAAGCTCTGGGTCAGCTTCACCTTGGAGAACAATAAATTGTCTGTGAGAAACATCTCCCAACACCTCCACATGCAGGAGAAGCTTCCACTCCGCATCACTCTGTCAAAGGCCTTGCTTCAGCATGCAGGCTCTGGAAATCTGACCCTGAACCTTAAAAAAGGGGTGCTGCATAGGACAGTGAATCTTGTGGTGATGAAAGGTGAGGGGGTGAGGGCAGGCTGAGAAGGTGGACGCAGGGCTGCTGCAGGGGGCTGACTCTGCCTCTGTCCCATCCTCTGTGACCTCTGGCTTAGCTCCCTTCCTCTGTGGGCCTCAGCAGCTGACTGGGCAATCCAATCTACTCTGAGTGTAAAGTGCTCCGTGAACACCAGCTTCAGCACTGCCTTTTCCCACTTTGTCTCCTTAATCATCTCAATAATCCCACAAGCTAATGTCTGATGCTAACTCCATGGCAGGCCCCATTCAGGAATCGTACATGTACTTGTGTACAGTACTAATTACTGTCTGCACTCAGGCTGGTGAAGTGGCTGGCTCAGGGCCACACAGCCAGGGAGCAGTGGGGCTGGGATTCAAATCCAAGAGCGTTGGATTTCAAAAGTTGTGTTTTCTCGGTTATAGTGGCGTGAAAATGTGCTGAGAGGCTAAATATGTGATTTTGATTGTTCTACTGAATTTGCCCTGAGTGTTACTGGACCTGGGGGGTCCTGGCTCTTGTACCTCTGCAGTGAATGAGTCCAAGAACAATGTGGCCTGTGAGGTGAGGGGACCCGTGCCCCCCCAGATGCAGCTGAGCTTGAAGCTGGAGAATGGAAGTATGGAGAACTCAAGTCAGCAGAAGTGGGTGACAGTGCTGAACCCTCAGGCAGGCAGATGGCAGTGTCGGCTGAGTCACCAGGACTATGTCCTGCTGGAATCCAAGGTGGAGGGTGAGTGTCTGGGGCCCCTGACCCAACACCAAGCTTCTGCCTGCAGGGTGGGCAGAAACAATGGGGCATACCACTTGGGTCACTTAGGGGGCTGGCTACACAGGGAGATGAGGTGAGGTAGGATCTGTCCTGGTTTCTGTGGTCCTGAAAGTTCCCACCTCCTGGGTCTACAGCCCAGGAATGGGGCCCATATAACCAAGAGTGTCCCTCCCTGGTTTCTCTCCAACTCCAGGTGCACACACATGCAGGTAGGCAGGCCCACACACCAGCACATGTGTATGGACTCAGACAAGACGGCTGCTTCCAGCTCCCACTGTGCTGACGGTCTCTGACCTGAAAACCCCTTCCTCAGCTCTTTCCTCTCAAGCCCAGAGGACCTGGGGGAGCCCTATGCGCCCTGCCTTGCTCTGCCAGTCCAAGAATCAGGTCTAAGGGTAGCCAGGCATCAGGTCTTCTTGCGGCCCCCAGAGCACCCTGCCTCTGCCAGAGGGCAGTGAGGCCAGAGGGCAGTGAGGTGAACATCTTTCTCGCAGTTTCTTCCCAACTCATGAAAGACTCGCCAGCATTCCTGGTCCTCGTGCTGGGTGGGACTGCCAGCCTGGTTCTCACTGGATTTTGCATTGTCTGCTGTGTCAAGTGCTGGCATCGCAAGGTGAGCAGCACCGGAGCCCCTCAGCAGCTAAAGGGTAGCTTGTGTATGGGCCCTGCTTCTGGGATGAGTGCCTGCAAGCTCCCCCTGCAGACTGGGCTGCTCCAGGCCCCACAGAGGAGGAGACAAGAGCTGGGGCAGATGCCCTCTGCCATAGTGACTGCTTCTCCTCTCCCAGCTTCCCCCACTCCCCGCTCCAAGGGGCACCTCCCTTCTGGAGGCCTGGGACCCTCATGACTCTCTTCCTTCTTCCTGAACAGCGCCAGGCAGACCGGATGTCTCAGATCAAGAGACTCCTCAGCGAGAAGAAGACCTGCCAGTGCCCCCAGTAAGGAGCTGGGGGGGTGGGGGAGGAGGAAGACTTGGGCAGGAGGGGGAGGAAGGAGAGAGGAGAGTGGGGGGAGAGGAGGTGGAGGAGTAGAGTTGAGTGAAAACAGAGGGGCAGGGGAGGTGAAGGAGAGGGAGGGGAGAGCTGGGGGCAGCGTGCCTGGATGGTTCAGGCTGTGGCCCTGCCCTGGAGCAATGGCAAGAGACAATGGCAGTCTGGGGACCTGGGAGGTCCTAGAATGCCATGGAGTTGGGGAGGAGCAGACTCACTCCTTTTCTTCTTTCTTCCTCCAGCCGGTTCCAGAAGCCATGTAATCGCATTTGAGGCACCAGCCAGGGGCAGCTTCTCACTTGCAGCCTCCCCAGCTGTCTTCCAGCATTTCCTGTCAGGCTCCTGGGCCTGTGGACCAAATGAATGTACCAGACCCCAGGCCGCCAGCCATCTCCTACTGTCCTTGTTCCCTTGGCCATTGATTCACGTCTTCTAGAACTTACATCTTTTCTCCCCCTCTCCTTCTCACCCAAGCCCTAGCTCTTCTCTCACTATTTCTTCTCTACTGTCTCCCTCGCTGCCCATTTGGATCTCACGGAAGCAGGCAGAATCAGTCCTACCCAGCCTGAAGAGTGAGGTTGGGTGTCAGCAGCATAAAGCAAAGCATTGTCATTTTATGAAAGAAGACTGTCACTTTATGGCCTTAAGAGACGCTTAAGGCCAGCCCAAGATCACAGAGCCAGTCAAGACTCCCAAGGCCCCTCCCTGCCAGCCTCCAACCTGGTGGCTGCTTCTCAACCTGTGTTGGGGGCCACAGACTCATTCACACCTGTGTGCAAACAGGGATCCCCGAATGCACACCCTCATACAGAGATCACACCTGCCCACCAACACGATTCCTTAGCACGTGAGCACTGTCTTGATCTGTAAACCAGCTTCACATCCTGTTTGATAAATCCTATTGCTGACAGTGACAGTTCCTGGATTAACATCTGTGGTTTACACACCAGAAATGGAGCTCAGAAAGGTTAGGTGTTTGTCCAAGATCACACAGCTACATGATGTTGAGTCAGGACTAGCCTGTCTCTTGACCTCTAGTCCCACTGCTGTTTCTCAAACATAGACAAATACCACTCAGATTGCTGCAGCTGGTCAGTCAGAGGTGCTGGTGTGTACCTTTGGCTCCACAGGAGCACACAGGGAGGGCTGCCTAGAGTGTTCAGGAATGTGGAGAAGGACGGCCCTGTCTCAAACGCCTCCCTCATCACCTGCTGGCTGCAAATCATGTTACCAGAGGACAAAGGTTTCAGCTCTAATTAGAGCACCAGTTGGGAGTACAGGCTCAGTGGACAAGAGCCCAGTGACCTGCCACTCACCTCCTACAGAACCTTCTGGAAGGTGAGATTTGCCAGAGCGGGTGGGGAGCTGGTCTGAGAGGGAACTTTCTGAGCAGATCTCCTGTGAAGGGCAGTAGCATTGGGCTTCAGTTCCCCAGCCCTGAAGCCTCCTTCATCCTTTCCCAAACCTTTCCAGACACAGGAAAATGGAGAATACAAGTATTTGGTCCAGCTCTCCTTAATCCATTCCTTAGGGTCTCCTGCCTCCTTTGTCTCTCCTTCCTTCCCTTCTTCTCCACCTCCCTCAGTCTCTACCCCATTCTCTTTCCTCCCAGCTTGCCCCTTCCAGCCCCTTCCAGAAAGACCAGGTTCCTGCCACTTGATCTGAACCCTGCCCACTCCCACCTCTGCTCCTGAACCAACAGGAAAAAACAGCAAACTTCTAAAGAAGATGCTCTGCATTTGTGTGGGGGGGGGACATGGGAGGGAGTGGACTTTTCTCTAGGAACCAGGGTAACTCTTATCTTTGGGGTCAGTCCCAGGACATGAAGCTTCCATAGGGAAGGAAAAACTCTCTGGAGGCTGAGTAACCACCTCTCCACCCCAAAGGGGGGGGGTGTGTGTGTCTGTCTGTCCAGGACTGATTCCTCATGTGCTTCACTGAGGGAGAGACTCTGGGGTTGTACATTCCCACACAAGTTTATGTACCTGGTGGAGAGAAAGGACTCAGTGAAACTACAATGTGTACACACAACGTAGGTGTGAGTTTGTATGGGAGAGGAGGTGGTGGGATGTGTGTATGGGGTACATCCTTGTAGACCTGTGTGACCCCCACTTCCCAGGCAGACTCAGCACCTGCCCCTCCAGCGACACTCCAGGCACAGCCCTCACACAGACACACACGGTAACACACGGTGACACACGCTTCCTCCTCCCTGAACAGCTAGCTCCTTGGTCCCCAACAACACCAGCTGCCTCTCTGAGCTGGTGTTCATCTTGAAAAATGGGGTGGGGTGGGGGGCAGGACAGAACCATTTCACCAATGGAGCGGGCTCCCCGCCATCCTCCTCACCCCTCCCTCTCCCGCCTTCCTTGCCCCTCCCCCTCCAAGTCACCGCCGGCCAGTTCTCCGCCCCACACTGGTCCCCCACCCCCCAAAAAAGCTTCCTTCAGTCCCCCCACCCAGGCTCACGGGCTGGAGGGCTCTGGGAGAGAGGGGCTTGGAGGGACCTAGGGGGGCAGAGACGGAGTGAGCGGCGGGCTGAGCCCGCGAGGCTGGGACCGAGGGGGGAGGAGGAGGACCGGAGGGAGGAGGGAGGGAGCAAAGAGGGAGGGAGGGAGGAGGGAGGGTGAGCTGGAGCCGGCGGCGGCGGGAGCCCGGGAGAGCCGTGCTGGGAGTGCGGTCTCCATGGCAGTGCCAGGCGCAGCCTGAGGTAAGACGACCCCAGTCCTGTCCCCCGCAGACCCTCCCTCTAGCCCCCTCCTCCCCTCCCCCTCGGCTGCCTCCTCTCTACGTCGGCCGGCCCCTCCTCCCCAGCCACCTGCTGTCTCTGCCCTGGAGCACCCTGTGGGTGGCAGGAGGGTGGAGCTGCCTGACCTTACCCCTTCACCCCGACCGGTGTGAGAGAGACCCCAGTCCACCAAGGAGTCTCCCACATCCTCCCCTCCCACCTGCCTCAGATCTTTCTCTGTCCTTCACCTCCTTCTCTCTGTCCTTCAGATCCTTCCTGCCTCCCTCCTCTCTGACTCCCCATCTCTTTCTGTTTGAGCCCACCAGCTGGGTCTGGGTGGGGGTGGCTGGGAAGGGGTCCAAGGCTGTAGGAGCGGGAGTGTGTGTGGGGGTGCTCCTGACCAATTCCTTCCACCTCCCTCTGGCTGGCCATTGCCATGGCAACTGGGGTGTACTGGGCTCGGGAGGGAAGACAAAGGTGGGGGGTGGACTAGGACCTCTTGGGAAGGGCAGGGGTCTGAGGGCTTTCCTTAGTGATAGACCCTTCATTTCCACCCACCCTTCACTCCCAAACCATTCCCCACCTTCCTGCCGTCCACTCCGTCCACTCCGCTGGCTCAGAGTCTCACCTGATTTCCTCTGACACCCTGCCCAGGGCTCACTACAGCCAGCGTCACCAACCTTCTTGGCCTGGGGGAACCGAGTCTGGAGCAGGGGAGAAGGAATCAGGGTCTGTTGGTGGGGGTCAGCTCCAGGTTGCACCTTTGACTTTTCTTCGAAGCCTCCCTACTCCCTGCTCCTTCTCGCCCTTCCTCCAACACCCCTTCCCTCCAAACCTTCTCTGCAGGGGTCTCTGGGCTTTTCCTTCTATTTTAGGATACTATCACTTTGCCCCCTCTTTCTTTTCTCCTCAAACTCTCCTCCTTCTCCCTAGTTCCCCCTCTTTCCATTTCTGGATGCTTCTGATGTCAGCGGTTTCCCCGCCTTCGCCTTCGGGTTCCCTAGCCCCCCCTGCGGTCCCAGACTTCTTTCTCCCATCTTCTCTGATCCCTGGGGAGCCAAGGGCAGTGGAACTGGCTTAGGGAAATGAGGCTGAACACCAAGACCCCCTGACCCGAGAGCCTGGGAGAAGGCTGGGAGGGACTGTAACTAACACCACATGCTAGTATCCCCGGAGCCCTCAGAAACAAATCAAGTGTCCCCAATCTCGGAAGAGGTTGATATTTAAGGACATGAAGATAAAGGTTGAGAAGGATTGAGCAGGGAACCTAAGAGCTTCCTTCAGAAGCAGGATAAAGGACTGAAAAAGAACAGGAAGCAGGCAATGAAGATAGCTTCTTTGCTGGAGGCTTGGAGGAGCAGGTGTGTTTGAGTGGTTCTGTGGTTGAGGGTGGGACGATGCCTAGTCGCCAGCCATTGCTATCATTTTAAAGGGGAGAGGGGCCCTTACAAGGCAAGTTGGAGACCAGCCTCCCCTCCTTGCTCCTCCTCCTCCCACATCTCTTCTCTCCATTGCAATTTGTCCAGGTGTCTGAGTCTCACCCTCAGGCCCCTTGGGGCATCCAGAAGATCACTGAATGGTAAAGACCCAGAAGAAGATACTGGAAAGTCTGGTCATGGGGACCAGAGCTCCTCAATCCACCTCTTAGTTGAGGAGCGGCCAGCTAGATCTCCCATCAACGAAAGGGATACTTCAGAGCAGGCCCTGCCCACTATGGAGGCTGATGATGACCCCCGCTGACCCTCAGTCTCCTCTCCTGCCCTCAGTCCGATCTTAGCTGCTTTGGTCATGAAAAGCTAAGCAGCAGGGTCGGCCCACAGGCGGCCTGCCTCACTACAGGCCAGTGGTCCTGGGCATCATGGGGGTGTGTGTGAGCGGGGCTCCTGGGTGAGACCTAGCCCCCACCCCCGGGAGTTCAGGGGGGTGGGGGGCTGAGGAGAGGATGGCGCGGGGCGGAGCAGGGGCAGAAGAGGCGTCCCTGCGTTCCAACGCACTGTCCTGGCTGGCCTGTGGGCTCCTGGCTCTGCTGGCCAACGCCTGGATCATCCTCAGCATCTCGGCCAAGCAGCAGAAGCACAAGCCGTTGGAGCTTCTGCTCTGCTTCCTGGCGGGCACGCACATCCTCATGGCAGCCGTGCCCCTCACCACCTTCGCCGTGGTGCAGCTGCGGCGCCAGGCCTCCTCCGACTACGACTGGAACGAGAGCATCTGCAAGGTCTTCGTGTCCACCTACTACACGCTGGCCCTGGCCACCTGCTTCACCGTCGCCTCGCTCTCCTACCACCGCATGTGGATGGTGCGGTGGCCCGTCAACTACCGCCTCAGCAACGCCAAGAAGCAGGCGCTGCACGCCGTCATGGGCATCTGGATGGTCAGCTTCATCCTCTCCACGCTGCCCTCCATCGGCTGGCACAACAATGGCGAGCGCTACTATGCCCGCGGCTGCCAGTTCATAGTCTCCAAGATCGGCCTGGGCTTCGGTGTCTGTTTCAGCCTCTTGCTACTTGGGGGCATCGTCATGGGGCTGGTCTGTGTGGCCATCACCTTCTACCAGACACTGTGGGCCCGACCCCAGAGGGCGCGGCAGGCCCGGAGAGCCGGGTATGCGGGCGGGGCCAAGGGGGGTGGGCCAGGGGGCCTGGGTACCCGACCAGCCTTTGAGGTCCCAGCCATCGTGGTGGAGGACGCCCGAGGGAAGCGGCGATCCTCACTGGATGGCTCCGAGTCTGCCAAGACATCTCTGCAGGTCACCAACTTGGTCAGCGCCATCGTCTTTCTCTATGACTCACTCACGGGGGTGCCCATCTTGGTGAGATTTCGGTGCCCCACTGATGTCCAGATTCCAGCATGATCACCTGCCCTCCAACTCATCAGCCATACAGCGACTCCATCGCCACCACCCTGTCTTCTACCCACCCCACTCCATTTGTGAGGGCCATTGCTGTTATCCATGGTTCAACCTCCATTATGCCACCCCCCAGACCCAGTCCAGTTCCTACTTCATCTGTCCTTCGGTGCCACCGCCTATGCTCCACCCCCTCCTCTAGCCCAGGGCTCCACTATCTAGCCTCTCCCCTCTACCCATTCCCCACCCCCCAGTTAAAGCACACCTGGGCTTAGATCCCACAGGGATCTCCCACCGGCACAGTGTTCTCCATCCCCAGCTTGTCCCTATTCCTGGATTTCTCTCTGTCCTAAGTTTACCATCTAGGCTTCGCCTCGCCTGCCCTTCAGTAGAATGTTCCCATTTGGTAGGATTTATCGGGTCAATTTCTGGTCTGAGAAAACGATTCCTATTAATGTATATGAAAAAATTGCTTAGTGTTCCCAGACACCTGCCCTCTCCAATAACCTACCAAATAGGAACATTCTACTTTGGAGTAGAGGAGACACCTACCCACTTCTGCTGCTCTCGTCCAGACTGCAGGTCTTGCCCCCTGCCAACTCCGACCTCCCTCTGAGTGGCTCCCTTCCCCTCCATTCACCCACCACAACCTTCACCTTGGCCTCTGTCATGACCCCATGTGACTGGGCCCTTCCCTTTCTGACTTCTGGTCTACCCGCTGCACTAGATCTGGAGGTCAAGGGGACCCCCTCAGCGCTGGATCCTCACCTGACCCCCCCATCCTCCCGCCAGGTGGTGAGCTTCTTCTCCCTGAAGTCGGACTCGGCTCCCCCGTGGATGGTGCTGGCGGTGCTGTGGTGTTCCATGGCACAGACGCTGCTGCTGCCGTCCTTCATCTGGTCCTGTGAGCGCTACCGCGCCGACGTGCGCACCGTGTGGGAACAGTGCGTGGCCATCATGTCCGAAGAGGATGGCGACGAAGACGGTCAGAGGAGGCACCAGGCTACCAGGCTTTTGCTTTACTTACTGGGCCTCTGCTCTCTTTTCTTCTCTTTTCCACCATCCTTTCTAGTGTGTGTGTGTGGGGGGGGGGGAGCCCATTTGTTAGGGAAGCAGTGGGGTGCCCCCTGCTGGAATAAACCCCGTCCCCCTGGGGTTGACTTGAGCACCCCCTTCCCCTAATCCAATCCTCTGGCACTGGCACAAGGCTTCCTGCTGCCCCTAAGTCTCCCTTCCCTGGGCCTCTGCTCCCTTTAGAAACCCACATCCCGAGAAACAACCCAGAATCTTAACACAACTCTAAAGAAGGTTGTGGAAGTAAAGGAAGACTGAGTTTCCTGAGTGAAACCCCCAGCTAGGACAGCTGGAGGGAAGGCATATGTAAGTTTGCCTACAGTAGGGCTTCAGCATTGAGCCCAGCAGACACTAGCGGCTACAGACTACAGACCAGCAGGAATGCTGTAGGCTTACTAGCCTACAGCAGGGTTCTCCAGGGACTTTTAAAGGGGGGCAGGGTGGAGAAAGGGTGGGCAGTCCTTGCCAGCAACCAGTCTGCTTCTTTCCTAGATGGAGGCTGTGATGACTATGCCGATGGGCGAGTGTGCAAAGTTCGATTTGATGCTAATGGGGCCACAGGACCTGGAGGCAGGGACCCCACCCAGGTGAAGCTGCTGCCTGGAAGACACATGCTCTTTCCTCCTCTTGAGAGGGTCCACTACTTACAGGTACGGGAATACACAGTCCGTTCTGGGTATCCCCTCACCACTTCTCTACAGTCTGACACCCATCCATGCACCTCCAGGGCAGGTGAAAAGAAAGCAGGTGGGTAGAAGGGGCTTCATTCAGAGGCTTCGCTCAGGCCTCTCAGAAGCAGCTTACCCCAAAGGGGTGCCTTGCAGGAGTTCCAGGGGATGAGCCATCTCGTAGAGTCCTCTCTTGGGTTCCTGCTTCTACCCCTTGGCTCCTCCTGCAGCACTTCTGGTCTCACTTGCTTCTCTCCACAGGTCCCTCTGTCTCGACGACTGTCCCACGACGAGACCAACATCTTCTCTAACCCTCGGGCCCCAGGCTCCTTCCTGCACAAGTGGTCATCCTCTGATGACATCCGGATCCTCCCAGCCCAGAGCCGGGCTCTGGGGGGCCCTCCTGAGTACCTGGGGCGAAGACAAAGGCTGGAGGATGAGGATGAGGAGGAAGCTGATGGTGGTGGGTTGACCAGCCTTCGGCAGTTCCTGGAAGGTGGGGTTCTGGGGTCAGGTGGTGGGCCCCCACGTGGTCCTGGCTTCTTCCGGGAGGAGATCACCACCTTCATCGATGAGACACCTCTGCCTTCTCCGGCAGCCTCACCACGGCCTTCTCCTCGCCGGCCCAGGCCTCTGGGCCTCTCTCCCCGTCGACTCTCCCTTGGGTCCCCTGATAGCCGAGCTACTGGACTCCCTCTGGGGCTAAGTTCAGGGAGACGCTGCTCCCTGACAGGGGGTGAGAGGAGTGCACGAGCTTGGGGAGGATCCTGGGGGCCAGGCAACCCCATCTTTCCCCAGCTGACCCTGTGAGCCCAAGTGGGCCTGCTGGACTCAGAATGGGGCCCAGAGAGGGAACACCTACTTCTGCCCTGAGCCAAAGGTGGCTGCCTCCAGACTCCGGGAGACCGTCACGGGATCGGGGCCCCAGAGCCTACTGTCTCCCAGCCAAGTGACCAGATGCCCTACTCACCTATCACCCCTAGCAAAATGTATTAAAGTCTGAAGTGTTACCATCCAAACTTCTGTGTCCAATGTGCTAAGTCCGCAGAGGTTATGGTCAGAGGCTCAGGAGTGAAGTAGCTTATAGAGGACAAAATAGACCAGGGTCTGCGGTCAGAGGTACAGAAATACACAGGAAAAGACACACAAACTCAAACGTGCAGACAGAGCCTGGCTTCGAAGAGCATCTCCTGCTCTGGGGAGGGAGACAGGGCAAACACTACTTTGCTGGTTTAGGTGGGGAGGAATTTTGCCCAGATCTGTGGAGGTGGTTTTAGAACACGGCTCTTCCCTCTTCCCCTATCCCCAAACCCCCTCATGGTCCGGCATCCACCATCTGGGCAGGGAAGGGTCTGGGGCGACTTGGTGTCACTGGCTTGGAGTTTACCCTCCCCCATCGACATTCTGGAGCTCTTTTGCCAAAAGTGTGGGAGGGTGGCTGCGGGAGCGTATGGAAGGCATCCGCACTCCTTTTCCTGGACTAACAGTGGCGGGTGCCACAGCCCCCTAATTACCCCCACTCCTTGGGCCACAGGAACCGGGAGACAGGGCTCCCAGGGGCTCCCCACACCGCCATCCAGGGCAGGGGGCCGCTCAGTTTGGCCCTTCCCCTCCTCTCCAGGGGCGGCTTCTCCTCCCACTCTACCCCACTGGGCTGAGGCTGCTTCTCAGCTCTGCCTGGCGCCCCGACTTCTCTCCATCCTTCACATTGGCCTCTCCCGGGGTTGGGGCTCAGCCCCAAGGGCTGTGTCTGCCCGCTCATTCCTTCTCTCTTCCTCACCCGCCCCCTCCATCTCTCCTTCCTCTCCCCTCCCTTTCCCTCCCCCCTTCCCTCTCTTCTCCATCTCCACTCCCCACTGCCCTCCGGCAGCCGGCCCTCGGCTCTCGCACCATGCTCCGGCTCCTCCGGCTGCTGCTGCTGCTACTGCTGCTGCCGCCCCCGGGGTCCCCGGAGCCCCCCGGCCTGGCCCCGCTGTCCCCAGGGGCGCCCCC